GACGTTATATGAAGGAATGTGCTCTCACCCTATCACATTACAACCTCTGCTAAAGGAAATGAAACATTCAATTAATACCAAAGCTCTTATGTCACTTTCAAAAAATTCAAAAACTTGTGTTTATTGTAAAGGTGATAATTTGATGTTGAAGTCTGTGGAATAAATTTAATGGTGAAGAAACAATTTTTATCTTTGGTCCTCACAAGGATTGTAAAAGTTCTAATATGTGCAGAAAATGTTAAAAATTCCACAATTTGCTCTTGCATTTTGATCAAAGTGAAGAAAATTTCGATAGATCAAATGGCACATTGAATCAGAACACAAACAAAACTAATAAATTTAGCAGTAATCTTTCTCCAGATGCTGATACATTTACTCCATTTGCAAGCGGCCAAGTGGTTAGTTGCTCTAGTGAAACCAACCAAACAAATTCTATGAACATTATTGTATTGAATATTTTCAATTCTTCTAACAAACAGGTTCTACTTTTAACTACATTCATTTTCATGAAAGGTGCTGATGGAACATTTATTTCACTGATGGCCTTATTTGATTCTGATTCTCAAAATAATTTCGTTACTAAAGAATGCATGGAATTACTGAATTTGAAGAGAAGAAAAATAAATGCTTCTTTTTCAGGTATTAGTGATGCAGTTATGGGTATTAAGGAAAACACTATAGCATCCATCACTAATGCTACTAGAGGTTTTATTTGTACCTTACAGTTTTTTGTTGTTACAAAAGTAACTCCCATAATGCCTGTAAATATCTAGACATTCCTGATCTTAAACAATTGCAACCCATTGGTATAGCTAACCCAGAGTTTTATAAACCTGTCCCAATGCATGTTTCATTATCTAACAAAGTATTTTTGATTTACTGGAAACAAATAGAATAAACATGCAAGATCTGATTCTCTAATAGTCAGTTTTTGGATGTATCGTTAGCGGGTCAGTATGCATGCCACAGCAAGGCAATGTTGATAATTATTGTGGGGTTGTCGAAACTGTGGGTCATTTATCTGACAGTTTGAGGAGTTTGAAGTTTTGGGAGATTGAATGGGTTAATGATACAAAAAAAAGGGAAGAGTCAGGCAGAGGAATTTTGTGAACAGCACTTTCTTCGCATGCACTTTAGGCAAGATGGTGATAGATATATATTGGAAATGCTAATTAAGGAGAAAGGGCTTAGCCTTTTAGGCGAATCAAGAGAAAACATTGAATTATTTCAAAATCGTAAGAAACAACCTTATATTTAGCGTAGGTATAATGAAACACTCAATCGATTTCGAGGGCAGCTAAAGGTCCCTCCTCATCAGGAGAAAGAATACATAGAAAGAGAAAATAGGAATCACAGAAACACGTGGTGCTTATCAGCACGGCACGTGGTTATATAACTAGATTTTCAATCAGAGTTGCACTGGCCGCCTACTTTACTGAGCCAGGCTGTCTGATCAAGCATAAAGAAATATTAGCGAAGTTAAAATAGGGAGCAAGGGGCTATAACCACGTGCAGTGCTGATAAGCACCACGTGTTTCTGTGATTCCTATTTTCTTCTTTCTATGTATTTCTTTCTCCTGATGAGGAGGGACCTTTAGCTGCCCTCGAAATCGATTGAGTATTTCATTATACCTACGCTAAATATAAGGTTGTTTTTTACGATTTTGATTGTCACATTAGCGTGTTTCTCTTCTAGTCTATTGAATTATTTACTCGTACGCTTTGCTCGTAGTCCCACAATAAAACCCTTGTATGAAGATTTCATTAAAGAATGTAAAAAATTAGGCCATTCTGAAGAAATTGCTGAAAGGGATAACTCTAAATTTTTCATATTATCTTTATCATCATGGGGTTTTCAGGCCCAATAAACCTAGCACTCAATTTAAGTAGTGTTCAATGCCACTGCTCCTACGACTACTGGAATTTCACTAAGTGATGTTTTATTGAATGGATTATTGTTAGTTTAAGATGAACTATTTGATATTATTTGCAGATTTCGTACTCATAAATTTGCCTTCACAGCAGACGTTGACCTCAACCATAGTGCTAGCATGGCTTCAGAATCTTCCACATTTACTAAAATCTTTCGTTGCTAACAGAGTGAAGATAATCTAAAGATCCAAGAAATAATGCAGACTTGCCAGTGGGGTTATGTGCGTTCAGAAGAAAATCCAACAGACCTTATTTCCCGAAAAATGAATTTTGACAAGCTGCATGATGCTTAGCTCTGGTGGAAGGGCCCTCCATTTTTGAGGAAAGTTATCATACCTAACAGGAACATTGACTTTAAGATTAGAAAAAACAATTAGAACAATTAGAAAAAACAAACAAATTTTCCAGTGAACTGAGAAAAAAAACTGACATTGTTTGTTTATGCACTTTGTCTTCAAAAATTATTGTTTATGTCCTAAATGTCACTAACAGTTACTCAAAATTTTTACATATTATTAGTTACATTTTCATGTTCATTTGGAACTCTAGGTGTGCAAAACAGAAAGGAGCACAGAGAGGAACAGAGTGGGTAAGTTCAAAAGCGTTAAATGAAGCAGAATCCTACATAGTAAGAGAGGTTCAAAAATGTAATTCCTATTTAGATTATGACTCCCTCACACAAAGTAAATTCTTTAATAATAAAAGTCATTTACTTTCTTTGACCCCTGTTTTGGATGGCCATTTCAAAAGTCTCATAAAAGCATCAAATAATTCTTCATGTTAAATGCAACTTAGCTAAAGTAATTGCTGAACATTATCATTGGTAATAGTTTAGTAGGTTCGGTTACCGTAGGTTTGTAAGCATTATTGTGTTTTATAAGGCAGAAATTTTGGTCGTTACAAAGTAGAAATTTAGAAAGATTACCCATGAAGGTATAACATGTAGTAAAAATAAACCAGTCACTATTGAGCAAATTATGGGTTCATTACCTGCACAGCACGTAAAACCAAGCTCACCTTTAACCATGTCGGCACTGATTTTTTGCTGCTGTTTTTTTTATTAGGTATAAGGGACAGAGGAAAGGAACTCTCCATAATGTATATTTAGCTCTTTTCATTTGTCTTACAACAAAGGCAGTGTATCTCAAACTAGTGAGTGACCTTATCATAGATGTCTCTATTGCCACCTTAAGGAGATTTATTGCTCGATGCAGAAAATGCTCAGTCATTTTCTCAAACAACACATAAAACTTTGTTGGCGCAACTGCCGAATTGCAAAGAATTAACAATTTAATTAGAAGTTTTGATAAAAAATTAACAGATTATTTAGCTGAATAAGGAATCATTTAGAAGTTTACTCCCCCCTCAAACACCTAATTTTGGCGGGTTGTGGGAATCTGGAATTAAATCTGGTAATAACTGTAATAACTCAAATAGAGTTTGTTTTAAATTCTCGTCCGATTATTCCATTATCTTCCAGTGTAAATGATCTAGAGGCCATTTTCTCATTGGAAGACCTTTGAATGCTATTGTAGAATCCAAATTAATTGATATACCTGAAAACAGAGTCTCAAGATGGAAACGAACTACCAGATCTGTCCAATTGATATGGAATCGTTGGCACTATTTAAACACACTACAACAGCATTTAAAACGGAAGGCAGAATAAATGAACAATAAAATTGGTATCCTAGTACTAGTTAAGAAACATGAGCTTCTGTTAGTGGATGGGTGTTAGGGCATATTACAAGACTTTTCGTGGAGTTGGTGGTAAGGTTAGAGTAATAAAAATTCAAACAGCAAGAGGCATCATTAAATGTTGAATTACTAAAATTGTGGTATTACCCCAGGAAGAAAACAGATAACACATTGCGCAAACAGGAATGTTTTTAGAAAAGGTCGTGAAAATTGACAACTTGCTCCTGATAAGTACATCTATAAAAATCATGAAACTGAGCCTAGGTGGTTGTGTTAGTAAGTACCAATATATATACATATTCTTAATGATGCATCAAGGTGTCATTTTTTTTAAATACTCACTTCTTATTCCCTTAAAAGGAATTAATTACTTTTGAGTAATTCTTTTCTTGGAATGAAATAAATCATTCAAACAAATCACAGCATAGATAAATGTAAATGTTTGTTTTTATTTCATTAATTATTTGAGAAGTAAATACAGCAGTGTTATGTTCAAATATGTAAAGCTACAAGTTATGTGAAGTGGGATCTTCTGGTGTGTACATCTTTATCAGTTTGAAATTGATTATACATGCTTTTAATGTACTTTACTGTATGGTGTATTTTCTGTTCAATGAATTTTCATTAATCATTTAGACATTAATGGAAGTGGTTCTGAATGCCTAAATATTTTAAATTTGAGATAAACTCAAGTTTTTGTACACATTTACATGAGTGCCATTTGTTACCCCCACACATGGTCAAAATGTTGATAAGATTTCAACTATCTTCATACTAAAAGGTCAGGGTTAATTTTATGAATTGCTTTTATAATCTTTCTCTTCAGAACCATAATATCTGTAACAGCAGCAATGTAAACCTCACTTATCATTTAACCTCCATAAAAATATAGTTATTTTCAATTAGTCCTGTATTTGCAATTATATATTTGGGTTCATTTTTTTATAAAGTGTTTCATAAAATGTGTTTTCACAGTTGGACCCATTGGCCTGTAGTCTTTTATATAAAAATTAAGGATAATCCTTGAAATTAGACTTCACTTCCCTTCCCTTAAAGTGTATATTAGCTTCATTCCAAAAGTTATGATCATTTAAACATTTTGTAAAAAATTTTAAAAGAATGTTATTACATACGTAAAAGACATATTAAGGACCTCTTTTGTTACGGAGTTTGTTAAGGACCTCTGTGAAAGGTAAAACTTTAAACTTAGTCAATGTATTGTACACACTTGAGAATAGTTTCTGGTGATGTAACCAGAATTGAATTAATAGCTGTTTTAATTATAACCAGTGTTAAGTGATAATGATGTTCTGTCAGCATTTTTAATGTTATTGTCTGTATTCGTATTTACATGTTTCTATATTTTCCAGAAATCCGAGTGTGGGTTTAAACACAACAACTACAGGTATAGGCATATCTTTCATGTATATAGTTTATGTTAATTTTTTTTAACTTTTATTGTCTAAAGGTAATTTTCTGTAATAGCTCTCGTAAATGGTAAGCCTTGGCGGGAACCTTGGCCCCCTCATACACCTGAGTCAAAACTGAAACCAGTGCCTGGAATAGCACCTCTTCCTAAATATGATAAAAAGGCTGCAAAAAAGAAAGGTCTGAATGGTATGGATCATTTTATACTTTATTATTGCTTATGAATAGTGGTGAAAACTGTGTATTCAAACATTATTTTATTATTATAGAAAATGATAGCAATGGACCTAAGAATATTTTAGAACAGTATACAGTGAATGTTGAAATTCCACCATCATCTGATTCTAGAAATCAAGTAATTGCAATTTTTTCCATTTTTTCTTCATTTTTATATGTAGAATGTCTATTTTTATTATGTATTAGCTTTGTTTTTTAACTGTATCTATTTTGTAATTTTCAACATGGACAGAATTGAGTAAAAAATAGAATTTTTTATGCTAATTCTTAAACTGTTAGTGCCATATATATTAGAAGGAAAATGGCAACATAAAAATTATGAAGCATTTTTACTCAGTGATGAATATTCATATTTGAAAGATGTAATTTTTAAAAAGTCTATTTAATTGTTTTGTAACCCGATTTGTAACTGATTCTTTGCTGAAAATGATCTGTATGGAGTAAAAAGTGTGTCCCCATTCTTCAGTTGGGCAGGAGAATAAAAGGCAAATATATGCTCAAAGTATTTAAAGTAATGCCCAGTTTAAGTAAATTACTAATAAATTTTTTTAAACTGTGAAAAACTGAAATGCCTTGCTATTTTACAGTAAGTGTAGTTTCAAAAATCTCATCAAAGACTTTCCATAGTGTAATTATCAGTGTTACAGTACTTACAACACAACTATTCTGGGTAGTATAGTGTTTAGGGAGACTGATGTGTTGTCCAGCTTGATTCAAATATCAGATAAAGTATGAGTCTCCTAGAACTAGGACAATTCGAATATCAGATAAAGTGTTGTCTGGTCGTTGGATTCCATCCTTTGCTTATGTTTGAAACTTGAATGCACATAAAACATATAGAACATTGCATTAATCAAAAAATTGTATTTAGTTCAATACATATAATGTTTATTAGTATATTGAAATTTTTTTCATGAATAAGCAGAATAAAGCTGAATAAGAAGTGTTGTTACTTGGAGAAACTTCATGATTAACACTTAAAATGTGAAATAACAATACACTATAACTGCCATTTATTATCTAAAAAATTGTTCTCAACTCTTAAAATTTTAATTCTTAGTTTTTAACAAAGAGCACAGCATTATTCAAATAAAACTAATTGAAAGTCATACATGCGAACAATACCTTTTCACAAATTAAAAGTATACAGCAAACTATGCATCTGATACAAAATTATTGAATAATAAATAACCTCCTAAATAACAGTTAATTTTGTAGAAAAGATCTAAAAAGATGAGCAAATTAAGCATTTTTCTCCTACCTTACCATACACTTTTATATCGTTTAATTAGAAGTACATCCAGCTAGCATCGAAAGATCTGATGATCGAATCCTGGTGTGGGAATTGTTGATTCTTCATGTTTGCTGGCTTTAAAAAAATTGTAATGATTGCAAAGTAGTTTGAAAATAACCAGTGCCTTTGCCTGAAATTAAACATGGTGTATTTGAATAACTGGTTTGGTGGGCTGACCATTATACCACAAGAATTAGAAAAAAATACATTTCTTTGCAGCACTGAAATGTAATAATTTGCTATTCTGTGAAACTTGATGTCTGTATATTTGTGTTTATATTATTTGCTGAAATTAAATTTTATATATATATATAAAAGTCAGTGTTGATGTGTTCAGCTGATTGTTATTCATTTGTATGAATATTTCATTTTGTAATTTTTATTAATTTGTAATATGCAAAATATTTTTTATTTCAGTTTTTTGTATTATGAGTAATTTTTAGAACAAGGATAATTATGTGTTTAACCCATATAAACCAGCTATACCTCCTAGGAAGGAATTTCAAATTTTCAGGAGGAACACGGTTAGCCTTTTATTTAGATGTTAAATATTTAGTTATATTTCATGAACATAAAAGACTGCTTTTGTTCAAATTTTGGTATTTACCATTATACCACAAGAATTCTTGTTTAACTTATAAAACATGTAAAAAAATAAACTAAATCTAAATAATGTATAAATATATAGCATAATAATTTAAATTTATTTACAATAAATTTTGGAAAGAACAGGGATGATCTAGCAATGGGGAAAGGGGTGCATGGAGCAAAAGAAGTTGAGAATCACTGAGCTACATAAAAAATTTGAGAAATTGAGTTTTCTTTACAAATAAGCTCATTTGCATGCAAAATATCACCATATACACATAAAAAATATTCTTATTTACATAATAAATAATTAGCCATCTTTATATATGAGACATCAAGAGAACCCACTGCTATTCTACAATCATTGTAGCCCTAAATAATTCACATATAAAACAATAAAAGTATAAATTTTATATTATTTTCATATAAATATATTTAAAATTTAAATCTTATGTAATCAATATTGTAAAAATTACTAATGTTTTGTTTTGAATTATTTTTAACAACTCATAATAATGACAAAAAAAGAATCTTTTATTTTAGAGAAATAAGTTCTAAAAATGAATGAAAATAGAAATAACATCGTATTAGTTGAACTGCAAAATAAAACTGCTATAAAACTCTGTTTACTATATATTTTAGAGGGGAAATTTGTTTGATTGCTTAACATCTTACAAAGCCTCCTGTTTTATAGAATATCAGGAGAGTTACTGTTTTCTATAATATACTGCAGAATTTTAATATGCAATCTGATATTTCTTTTTATCACACTGTATATTTTCATCTTATAAAAATGACATTTTGTTTTTTATGTGGAACAATTATGTGATCTAAACAATTACATTAGCTTTTCATCTATTGAAGCTTCCAGTATCCTTATTGTAATTTTGCTCTCTTGTGAATAAAACTGAAGTTGCAATTCTTTGATGAAATTCCATGTGTTTATGCTCTCCTTCAAGCTGAGTGTGTAACTACCATGTGTTCTGTTTTGCCAAATCTATGTAATAAGAAACCAAAAAGGAAGACCAGTTTCCCCACTTAATTGAGACATAATAATGACTATTATTCCATATTGCATTTATCTGTATTCCTCTTGTTTCTATTGTAGTATTGTGTTCCTATTGTATAACTCTGCTTATCAGTACAGGTTTAATGGTGTTGCAGCTAATTTTCAGATAAAAATATTTGACTGATTAAAGTTAATCTTTTATATAGAAAAAACTTTTTTTTTTATTATTTCACATTAAAAAATTAAAATATCTTCTTGCTAACTCAGAATCAATATTAAGCTTATATTTGCTTACAAACATGCCTCTTTCTTTCCATATGTAAACAGTTGTTGAAAAAAGCTTTTATATCATGCTGATAACCAGCCTGTTTCTTCAAACATAGCAAAAATAAAAATGGCAAATATTCTGCATTATTTCACATTGCTAAACTAATACTTTTATCTGTTGGACAAAATTGAGATTTTAAAGAAAAAAATAATAAAGGAGACTTTGTATATGTAGGAAATTTGTCAGATGGGGGTTAAGTAACTAGTTTCAATCAAAAACATCACTGTGGTAAAGTTTATTTCCTTAGTTGTGGTGGCAAAAGTATATGTCACATGTTATGATAAACAAGAATATAGTGACAACTTACTCCAGGACAGGATTCAGGTCAATAGCCCGCCGTAACGAGAGAGTGACAAACACGTGAAAACAGATTGAATTATTGCTTTATTGAATGTTACCAATGTTGAAGAGATTTTTTTTTTTTTTTTTTTTTTTTAAATCCGTTGTGTCACGTGGTGATATGAGGCCTCCTCACTCAGAAAAAAAGAGCCTTTCTCACAGAGCCCTTCGAAGGCTTGGTATATTGCAACTCAATCACATGCAGGTACTCTTCATCGGGATGCCGGGCAAAAATGCCAAGCCCGGGGAAAAGAGATTAGCTTAAATTTTGTAGCTACAGCATCAAAAAGAGAGAAAACTCGCTTTCTTCATACACACTGGGAGACCAAAAAAGCTTGCACGATAAATTCCAAAAGTTTGCATTTCACCCCACTTTTACTGTCTTTCTCACGCAGCATCTCCATCACGCACTTTCACAATCTCCTCCTCCTACAGGTGGATTCCAAGTTCCGCTGGATGGGCCGCTGATTAACTTGCAGGATTTGCAAGTTTTGTTCCGGCTGTTTGAGTTAGTTGCTATAGAGCACTGATGGAGTAGGAGAATGCTTAAGTGAGACCTAAGTCAGGATTGCAGATGTTGAGAGGGCGGACTACCTTGTCACGTGAGGTGTGAAGAAGTCGTTAATACATTGCGAGATTTCAGGTTAGAAATGCTGAAGAAAACCTTAAATGTACAAATTGCAGAAATAATTACATAAAAGGGAAATTCTTCCAGTAATCATCAGAGTAACAACATATGGAATAAACCAAATTTCATCACATAATACAGTCTAGCAGTCCAGTAAGTTGAAGTTCCAAGTCCATGATAACGTGATGGGGGTGGTGTAAACAGAATCATGGTTTCATTATAACAGTCGAAGATGTTCCAGGAAAGCAATAATTTTAGTAAGAGTTACAATATAACAGAATAAATGCAGAACAAATGTTAACACAAAATACATATATACAAATTCAAGATGTCTATCCCAGAGCATACTTAGAATAAGTCACATATCACGTGAGCGGAATCAAGGCATTCTGATTCACTTAGCGTAAACTTGTCCAAAACTGATGAAAAGAGATATTAAAAGAGATGTTAATGATTAAATAATGGGTTGCAATAGTGAAAAATCACTATTTTTTCCATGTTCTTCAATATGATAAATATAAGGAATACCAGAAATTTCAGTCCTAAAAAATGCAGAAATTCCTACAACAAGGCTGAACATAGAACTCAAGTTCTTAGGTCACGTGGGAGGTCACTCTCCCAGGTGCTGACTTTTAGAAGTACTTCTTGAATATTGAAGAAAAGCAGTATTCTGGAGTAAAATAAAAGAAAAATAAGAGTAAAATCACTATGTACAGATCAAAATTTCCACTAACTTGGTATTAGGTGGGGAAATTTTCATTTCCACTGAGTATGTAGGCCGCGAAAGGTCGAAGAAATCGATCATCGGTGAGAACTTCATAATGAAACATGTTGAAATGATTCATGAAATTACATTCCTGCGCATTTTTGAAGAATTTATCGTTAAGTTTTCGCAGATGTACCGCAATGGTATCGGTTTTGAGGTCCTCATGGAGGGTCTTGTTGCGGACATAATAGTGTGCGTTCGTGATAACACGCAGGAGTTTATTTTGAACGATTTGGAGTTTGTTTACATCTGAGTCTTTGGCTGGCCGCCCAGGCAGGAGATGCATAAGTCAAAATAGGTCTAATTGTGGAGAGATAAACAAGTCTTTTCCTTCCCCCAAATCCATTCTAGAGTATTTACCGAGTATAGGAAAGCAAACACTTGATAATTTTTAGTGCAAGTGGTTCGAACATTGTTGATATGGGTCAGTCCAAGGTAAGACGATCATTAAGAGTGACTCTGAGATATTTGGCACTTTTCACTATAGGAACTCTTTCATTAAAGAGGAGAAGGTGATTCTTCAGTTGCTTATTTCTTTTCCTTCTACAAATGATCAATAATTGAGATTTTTGAGCATTAATCTTCACTTTCCAATTCACGCACCATGACTCGATACTTGGCAGTATCATCTGCGTAACATGCAAGGATAGATTCATTACTGTTGGGTTTAGGGAAGTCTGCAGCATAAAATAAATAGAGTACAGGGCCTAAACAAGACCCTTGAGGTAGTCCACTTTGACTACAGGTGGACAAAAATTACCGCCTTTTTTAAAGTTCCACAGTTAAGTTTTGCAGCCAATGAAAAAAAAATCCAGTGTCAGACGGCAACCAATCACAAAATACCTTCAGCTACCCAGACAAACAGAAGTGAAGTCGCTAGTTGTCTGATGCAATACTTTCCTCCGCTTACAACAGTTGTCTGATGCAGTTCTTTCCTCCACTTACAACAGTTGTCTGATGAAATCTGTTCTTCACCTTACAACACAAGTTGGCGAAAAAAGGAAACTGTCACCAATGGAATCCGATGCAAATATCTAAATACTGCCATAACGTAGTAAATAATTAATTCAATGTGACCTCATCACAATCACTGTTTTTGATTAGAAGAAATTAATGTAATTATATTTTTGTCTGCTAATAATGTAAACATATTAATATAGTAGCCCCAACACTTTCATTTTAAGGATGGGCCAATAAAAAATACAACTTCTAGTTTTTTTTTTAATATTATTCCTAATATATCAACACCTAAAATTTCTTGCTGATTTTATGGCATATTTTTAAAAAGCAAAGATATTCTAATAATAAAATTGAAGGTGTGATAGAACATTCTTTCATTGAACGAAACTTTGATTGCTATGCGGTAGAAATTACTATTAACATATTTCATTATTTATTCTTCTCAGAGTTTCATAAGTTTTTAATTAATTTGTTAATTTATCGATAAATTCATAATATATCTGCAATTTTTTTATATTTTTTTTAAGACTTGTATTATTTGCTGTGAAACGTTGAGTAATCCTTCGTCATATGATGGAGATTCAACTGTAGTGAAACTTCAGTTGTGTTCTCACATGTATCACAAAGCATGCCTTCAAGCTATGTATGACAGTGGACCAAAGGTTAGTAATAATTAAATTACTTTGTTTGCTGTTTAATACCATAATAATATATGCAGTAGATTTCTAGTTAACTTAAGTAATATGGGGGACAATGTCAATGGATTAAGCAAAATGAAGGTTAATCCAATACCAGTTAATTAAAGCACAAGAAAGTGGAATAGTCTATATTGTAATAAACAGAAAATATCATTTACAATTTACCAGTATTTTTAAGCAATTTAATTTGGAGAATAAGTTCTTTTAGTTATATGTAAACTAAATCATCATTCAAAACAAGAGCACATTTCAAAACAGAAAAAACAATGTTTTTGTTGATGTTGCTCTTGTTTCAGTAGGAGTCAATGAGAAACAGAAGATTAATTTTTTTGGTACTTTTCCATTTCGCCAGCACAAATCTCACCAAGCAGACTTTATTGGCGACAACACACAGTATACATGTAAAAAATGTTAACAAATGTTAGTTCTAAGAAATTTTTATTTTGAAGGCCTAAACATTTTAATATCGTTTAAAATTCTCTAAAAAGACAATAAATTTGTAAAAAGACATTAATTTAAGAATTTACTATGCTTTCATGGTACTACAACCTGATTCACCGTTTCATATGTGACCCCAAGTGATCTCATCTCAACGTAAACTGCGCTACAAAAATCTAATTCTCTCAGTAATTATCTACATTAATTTCAAGTTAAATCTTAATTTGGATTACAAGTTTAAATGCAAGAATTATTTCAATTCGTGCGAATAGCTTACTTAGAAATTATGTGAAACCACAGTGCTTTACTTCGCTAGTGCATTCTCATTACAATTGATGAATTTAACCCTTGACTTTGCCTTTTCTATATTTTCGCCTTTGGGTGAGCAGTCTGATTGCATCCTAATTGACTTAATTACTATGAATGGCGTTAGGGCATAATTTTGAACTATCTGGCTATAATTCTATGTAATTGTATGCCAGTATTGAAAGAAACAATCAATTTGATAAGAAATGGCTGCAACTTGTTTTGAAAATGAAGCATAAAATGTTACCAAGGAGGAAATTTTGTTTGGCATCGGTTGTACCATTTTTGGCGACTTTATCACTTGCGCCTCCAAAATGGAAAAGTACCTTTAGTTTTAATGGATGTTTTAACAGTATTTGGTAAAATTATATTTATGGGTGCCCATTGGCGATTTTTGGCGGTACATGAATACCAACTTTGTGCAATTCTTTGGCTTGTTATTTTGTGTATGCCGCTACACAAAGGCAAAATAACAAGTCAAAGAATTGCACAAACTCGGTATACATGTACACATCGACCTATTTTCACTTTAAAAAAAATCAGAGAATTGCACAAACATGGCATTGCACACTTCCTTGTACACATTGATAAGTTTTTCACTTAAAGTCAAAGAAGCACCCAATTCTACAGTAGAGCCAAACAAAAAATACATAACCTCAATAAACTACATTTTAAATCAAACAATAAAATAATGTATAAAAGGAAATTCATATCTTATGTATATAAGGACTACACAAAGCAGATATCCACTTACCTTATTTAGAAATTTCTGAGTTCTTCAGTCTTTTTCACTCAAAATTCCTTAACAGCATCCAAAAACTTCCTAAAATTACTGAACTAGAAGCCATATATTGGTGTCACCACATAAATTCACAGAAATATCCTCCGACGTTCAATTATGCACATTTCCTTCCTACAAACAGGACATTATAATGGCTACTAAGTAAACCCTCATTTACACACCAGTCAATTAATGCCCTTTTCTCCTTTCATTCCAAATCATACTTCAATTTAATCTTACCACATTCAGCCATTCTACCCTCTAAACCACAAAATAAGCAACGTACTGCCTAACCAACACATAGCACAAGCCCTTACAAATCTTTTTCCCGTCATTCAAAATTTATGGCAATCACACAACTGATTACATCATAATAGGGTTTCCATAAGATTCAACTACTCAGGTTATCATAAATGAAACAACTTGGCGATAAATGAAACAACAACTTTGCGATAATACAAAGGGTACCCTTCATTTTACTATTTGTAAATATTCTAGATTATATATAATTTTAAGTTATGTAGTGTTAAGGATAAAAATAGTTCCTAAATACAGCAACATTGTGTTACCCTTGATGTTATCTCATGCATTTTCTTTTCCCTCTCCCATTTTTTGTAGAAATTTTGCTTTATCTTTATAATATGTAATTGTAATTTTTTCATTTTTCCATAGTAAACAAATCTAACCTTTTTTCTAGACAAACCAAATTAATCCATCCCTGTTAATTGGAAGTTTTCTGTAATTTCATTTTTCGTGTGTTAATTTAAATAATTAGCCTCTTTGCTTAAATGTTTCAAAGTTGTTAGGAGGCATCTAGTGTTCATTTGCCCTTATTTGTACTTTTTAAAATAAGGATAAAGTTAAATAAACCATTAGCTATAGTCCATAAAATTATTCATCATTATAAATTGATTAATTATGAAATTACATGGTTTTTGGCACATGTGTAGAATTTGGAAATGCATAAATAAATTACTATATATAAATTACTAATTCATTTTAAAGACATCAGAATATACCTGATAAATCTAGATCAAGGATCCTCAACTACAGAAGAATTCTTCACTTTGGAGTGAATGTGGTCAATATTTTATTTAGCTGTTCAGTTTTTAGTTTATAAAATATATATATATAAGACAAACAACTTTTATTCAGGTTTCAGTTTTTATAAACATTTTCTGTACTTTTTGTTGTTTAACTAATGAAATATGTTAAAAAATTAATCTAAATAAATGTATATATATTTCTCAAGTTTCGGAAAGGAGAGGGGAAACGAACATCTAGTAGTGGTAAAAGGAGTGGACAGGGGGAAAGAAAAGTTGATAACCTCTGATCTAGATAGTTGTGAATAGCATCATTTGGAAGAAAAAGTAGAAACGCTAAATTAACGCTAGAGATATTTAACGGAGCTAATAGCACAGTCTGTTCTTGAACTTACCCATACTTTTAATAGCATGTCACTTGTGATCTCAATAATTTTGGTAAACCACTCTTTCAGTGTATTAATGTTCAGTGGGAAATGTGAATGAATTAATTAAAAAAGTGTTGCACAGTCTGAGGTCTGTTATTCATAGAGTTCCCATATGATGTTCTGCTTTGCTAGAAGATAATTTACTTATTGCATTCTGTCTGCTGTAAGGCATGGAACCATTTCTCTAGCATACCAAGGAATGCTCCTGTCTCTTATATTTCTTGACAAACAGAAATAGGCAATGCACTTTTCTATAAAAATGTACCACAGGAAGCATAGGCTTTCAATGAATTCCCTGTCATTTTCAAAATGAAATAAGGATTTTCTGAATCGCAAATGCATCAGATTTATTCTAATTTGTTTCTCTTCTCTTATGGAAACTTAACTCATTTAGCTCTAGACACTACATAATTAGTATATCATTTTCTGTTTGGACTTGCAGTGTCACTCCCTCTCTCATTTTTGATTTCTTGTTTAATGTTTTTTTAAATGTGAATTATTTTATTAAAGATATAAATCAGCAAATGTTAAATATTTTTAAAAAGCTCAAAAAGACTGAAGCTAGTTATAAATTACTCTCCTTAATTTTATTTGACACAATAGAATATTTGTTATTAATTTATAGTTAAAAATTGATGTTCTTTATTAAACTTTCCCATGCAGGATAAATATCTTCAATGCCCTACTTGTAAGAAAATTCATGGGGAGAAATGTGGTACACAACCTCCAGGAAATATGATCTATCATGTCTTACCTTATAGTCTTCCAGGCTTCCCGGAATGTGATACCATTCGTATCATATATGATATTCCATCTGGTGTACAGGTACAGTGATACATATTTTTTAAAAATTTTGTCTTATGTCAGACCTAAGCTTGACCACCATTAGTCTGTAACAGGCCGTCCAATACAATTCAGAAACATTAAAAAAAAAAAAAAAAAAAAAATACAATAACTTTTTACAGCATTAGTCATTGCCACATCATTAAGTCTAGAACAAGTGTCCAATTGACACACATGTCGTCAATATCACATAATGGGCAAGATGGAGAGTCTGCTAAACCAAATCTGTGTAGGTGTTTCATGAGGTAGTCATGTCCAGTTTTTAATCTGAAGTTAGCGGCACTGATAGGTCTCGACAGGTCACAAGGAATGGGATTCTTCATTAGGGAATATAGCAACTATAAGTGTGAAGAGGTTAATAAAAGAAAAAAACACCATTTTTTAAAAAAGAGTTGATGAAAAAAAAAGGGTGAAATCTGACACAGTGCTAAAAAATTCAGAAAAAAATTTAAGAAAATTTTGATTCTTAAAAAATGTATAAAAAAAATCAGTGTCTTGATAATTCGTTTCTTCTTGGAGATAAATAGGTTCCTCCAATACTTTTATATAAGTAAGATTATAAAAGAAAAATTAAGGATTGTTTGATGGATAGAATTTTATTAAAAATATACCTGAATGTTAAAAACTTATATAATTGTGAAAGATGGCTGTCACTAAAACCATGAAAGTTGGTGGGGATCTCACTAATGTTGCACCAATTGTTGCCTCTTTGTTAATAAACAGTCAGAATTCGGTCTGCTTCATAAAAAAGCTTTTGTCAATTTCTAATAGTCTGTTAAGCCCTCTGATTTTAGCAGAAAATCTGTTTTAGAATGCTATGAGTACAAATGTCCTATAAGTTTAAGCAAAGAAACAACCTTGTGCTTGGCACTGATTTTAGTGAAGACTGTCGATTTTTAGGGCAAATAACAGGTACAGGTCCCTCTTCATCAGGAGCAAAGAAATCTGCAAAGATCATTCAAACATCTTCTCATATATTTCTTTTGATCATAATATGTTAAATCTTCTCATATACTTTCAACTGAGTTAAAAAATTAATTATTCCATTTATTGGTAACTGTGCTGGGTTTTATGCTCTTCCCAAAGTTTATAAAATTGGAATTCCTTTTTGACATATAGTTTCTAGATAAACATATTTCTCCTTGGTGTTCCACTATGGTTTCTTTTGATGTTAAATCTCTGCTAACTAATATTCCAGTCAAAGAAGCATCAAAATATCTTGGAACTAGGCTTTGAAAATTCCATTACGCTCATATTGAAACTGAAAAGAATGAGCTAAAACTGAACTTCTCTTAAGACTTAATTAAGTCTCTTTGAGAACAAACTCACTTTGTTGTCCAAGGTGACTGTTATTGCCGAATTGAAGTGTTAACTGTGGGTAATTCCCTAAGCTTTGTACTTGCTGATATTTATATAAGCTATTGTGAAGTCAAATTATTTGAGAAGCTCTCTTTTCATTTGTGGATTTGTCATGTAGACTACATTTTCACGCTTTTTGATGGTGATAAAGAAGATTTATCTCTGATTTTATCTGTTATGAATTAGTGGATTCAGTTCACTTTTGAAATTGAATCTGACAATACCTTCCCTTTCTAGATATTCTTATAATCCACAATAAATTTGATTTCAGCGGTCTTATTTACCATAAACCATTTTCTCTTCATTTGCCTTCCCAATGGAGATTTCTTTTCTTTTTGATGAAGAGGCAATTACTTTTGATGAAGCTGTATCTATTTGCACTCAAAATCGAGAGAATCTTGACTAAAATCTAGATCAAACACAAGGTTGTCGCTTTGCTAATTATATATTTTACTTTGGTATGCTTCTCTTCTGTCTTCTAATATGTAATTGTCCCAGTCTATTACTGTTTTGTCAGCCAAATTCTGCTGACCATATCATGTCCATTAGTACACTTTTTTGAGGATAGGATCTTATAACTTTGAAAATGATCCACAGTTTGCTGTTTTATAGAAGGTCCCAAATTTCAATCATTTTGTTTTTCAAAATATGAGGGGAAAATACCGCAATAATAAATAATTTATAACTTAGTTCATAAAAACAAAAAGTGGCTTATTGAGATTTAGTTGGGGTACATCAAATGAAAGTGCAGATGTTATGAATATGTTGTTACTTCAAGCTTATTCATAGTTGGAGCAGAATTTTGCTACTTTGTGGCAGTTCACTGCTGTGGCACTTTTTTTTTTTTTTTTTTTTTTTCTGTACCTTTTAAAGATTCTCTCTTCATGAGTGATTTTATAAATCATTGTTTCAACGTTAAAGAATGGATTTTGTTAATTTTTTTAAGCCCCTTACTCATATTACTATGCATTTCTCCTTCAATTCAACATAAATATTCAAATAACTTCTTTAAAACTTTTTTCAGTTTTCAATGATTTTGTACCAATAGATCTATATTTGAAGTTTGATCTGTCCATGGATATACTCAAATAAATACTTCTTCAAACTCAGATCTCTGAAAAGTACTTCTGTTTTTTTTTTTTTTTTTTTTTTTTTTTTTTTTTTTTTTTTTTTTTTTTTTTTTTTTTTTTTTTTTTTTTTTTTTTTGTTTTTTTTTTTGCTAACAGATGCAATTCTGAAATTAAATGCTTATGCATACTGCTGTTGATATGAACAGAGCACAATAATCAGAAAAATATGGAAAAGTTTTACTTAGAAGCAATTTAAAGAAGACCTCTTAAAAATTATTTTTTTAAGAGCATGTCGTATTAATTTATATCTGTTATCTTTATTTGATATCATTTGCTATTTCAAGCCTAATCATATCGTATAGTTTGAGAATTAGCAGTGTTCACTTTTTTTTTTAATTCAAAGTTGAAAAATTAATTTTTGGAAGATTAATTTGTTTTTCTCCCCCCCCCCGGAAAAAAAAAAAGGTGTGATAGCAGCAAAGGCAGTGTCCATGCTGTAAGTTGGAAGCTTAGCATGTCCTATTTTTAACTTATCCACAATTATTGTTAGTATGATTTTGGTGTTTAATTTATGTTTAAAATATAAAAAGTATTATTTTTAATTTTCAGTCTTATAGCTTTTTTTTTTTTAATGGACTATAAGTCTGTATCATGATTCCCATCATAGAAGGGCTCAAAAATTAACTGTTAATTAAAAAATATATGCCAAACATGCACATTCTGAAAATTGCCAAAATACTGTTTACACATTAACTGCTGGCAAGTTTTGCTGTAGGTTGGAAACTATGAATGCAATTGAATAACCAAATTTAAATCTTTATTAGTTATTTTATATTACTGCAGCATTTTACATGTTTTAAGGTCAGTTATGTGTTTTATTTTGACTTCTGTTTTTATTTTGTTTACTGATTTCTAGCAATAATCTTTTTTCTGACAAGTAGTAGTTGTGTATGTTTGTTTCTTGCTTCTGATGATATCAATCTTATATATATGCATACAATGTAAGAAATATGTAAAATAAAATGCTACCTTTAATTTATAATAGCCTGTTAAGTCTCTTTTACAGTTTTGTTGTTCCTCCTTTCTAAAAATAGTGACATTTTATAATAAAGGTCTGTAAACTGCATTTGAAAATTAAGCTTTGTCATATAATTCTTACATAATGCTTGGGCCAATATTAATAATAAAATAAATAAACCAACATGAGTAGAAATAAAGTAAATTTTTAATTTTGCTGGCATCTGTATTGTGTTTCAATCATTTCTCTCACTTGGCTGCGCTACTGAAATGTCATGCTTTACATCTATCGTTATATAAAAATGAAAATCTGTAAATATATGGGGAAAAATAGTGGTGTCTGTAGTGCTTTGAGAATGTTTCATCAACAAGAAATAAGAGTGGTAAACCAGCTGTGTCTGCTATTAAATCTTTATGCATCAGCTACTTCATGTCGTATCATCAGCATTTAAATTATTACATGCATATACATCTTGGCCACTTGGAAGATTAAGGCAGATGGTTTTCATATACTTTGCTGTAAAAACTTACTTAATTAGTGCTGATGTTTTTGTTAAATTATATGATGTATATAGATATTGGTTGCTAAATGTAATTATTTTTAGGGCCCAGAACATCCCAAACCAGGAAAAAGGTATACAGCCAGAGGTTTTCCTCGCCACTGTTATTTACCTGATAATGAAATGGGTAGAAAGGTAAGCAGTACTAAATTCTCTTTGGTTCTCTTTTTTTCCCCTTTGATTTGCCTTAATTTAAGTACTTGTATGCTTTATAATCAGTGCAATGTTTTATTTAAAACAAGGTTATTAAACTGACTAATGTAATAATTAACTAAAAATTGTTATCATCAGAGGGAATTAATTGCATTGATGTAGAACATAATAAAAATTTTCCCAACTTTAACCTTTTGAGGCCGGGGCTTTGGTAGCAATAAAAGCTACCAAAGGACGGGGAATCTTGAAACGAATGCTTTCCCCTTTTAAGAAATCACCTCCTATTTGCAACGAAGATTCTTGTGTGTAGTTTAATGGATTCTCAGAGGGGTGCATCTATGTCGCAAAAGGAAGACCTTTGAAAGAGATAAGTGGTTAAAACACTAGGGAAGTCAAATTTGACATTTCACCTCACTTTTCAGCCTGGAAAATGGGGGAAAAAGACATGGCCACTAAAGTGGACAACCCCGTCTTTTCAAAGAGAGGACTCTATGGCCACTATAATGGCCATCCCGTCTTCAAAAGGTTAAAGTAGTTTCATTGTGTAATATTTTAGAAGTTCCAAGAAAATCTTATTAATAATGTAGAATTTCATCATTTTGCAAACAACTGCTAAAATAAGCATTATGCATATTTTGCTTTATTTGTGTACATCAAAATGAAAAAATTTATTCTTTTTTTTTTTTTTTTTTTTTTTTTAAGTTTAAAACTATTTAAATCCTTCCACTACTTCTAGCCACCATTGTTGGTATAGTGATTAAGAGAGATTGATTCATGCTGATGGGTTTGGTTTTCAGTTTTTTAATTTGAGGTAAATCATGGGAGTATGTGACAGTAATATCTTTGCACAGTGTGTGCACTTAAAATCCATTGGCCTAAAACTTCTCTAAATCTAAATTGGATGCAGTTTAGGTAGACAATCTGTATGTGCTACACATTAATTTCCCCTTGAGGTCATTTTTTAGGCTGGCTGAGGTATGTAGGCAGCCTTGACTCTATGAATATAAAAAACATGAACTGATTTCCTGTAGTCTGTTGCTTTCATATAGGTATTTCAAGGTTATTTTCCACCTCCTAATTTTTCTCGTAACTGTGGAAACAACAGCCACAGAAAAAAATCTGCACACTGAATTTTTTCCCCTCTACTTCATTTCCATTTAGCATGTTTTGCTTCATGAAAAGCATGTGAATGGAGGCTGACTTGAACTACTATTCCAAATAAAGAGGAGAAAATGAACACTGTGCTGTGATGAGGACATGAGTTATGATTGTAAAAGGGGAAAGAGCTGTTATGATTCTAAAAGAGGGAATACAGCCTTTAAATGCTTGTTTTAAAGTAACAGACAGTAATTAAGATTCCTCCAGGCAGGTTTATGGTTGCAGGTAACCAGTGATTTGAATATTCCTTCTCACTTTATATAGTGAATTGATAAGCCTGCCTCCTCAATTAAACTGAGGCCAGCGAATGCTTCAGTCCATTTATCTTTTCTGGCAGACTTGCTGCTCTCTCATTGGATATGATCTTCTAGTTTGATTCTTTTGCAGGAGCAAGTAAAAAAATAGTCAGTTTGTGCTTTAACTGAATGATTTAGCCTATAACTTCTTTATATGTCTGTCATTCAAATAGTGCAGTAACTTTTCTGCTGTAGAATCAGAATTAAAACTTAGGATGACTAACTGAGCATATATTTGAGACAATAACTGAGGTTTATTATGTCCTCTTTAATTTTAAAAATTATTTTTGCTGCTTATGACCAGCAGAAATTGCTGGCTTAATTTCTTAGCCAAGTGTGAGGAGGAAGTTTATAAAAATTCAGTTAAAATGTGATGTCCAGATTAGGTAGTCTGCTGATAGTAGAGAAATATTTCATTTAATTCTTTTAATTACAGAAATAATCAATGATCTAATTTAGCTGAAACAGAAATATATCTCTTAGTAAATTCTTAAACAGTTCCATGGCTTGTGTCTTCAGTAATGAGAAACATTAAAATATTAAGCTTTTGATGCTTTTTTTATGTCATTATAAATCGTGGATTTTTTTTTTCCATGATAGAATGAATTTAAATAAATATAAAATTATGAGAAGTGATTTGATGCTTCTGCTTAGTTTTAAAAATAAAAAATAAATAAAAAAAAACTTTTAGGTCTTACGTTTGCTAGTCAAAGCATGGCAAAGGCGTTTGATTTTCACAGTTGGAAGGTCTTCTACTACTGGAGAAGAAAACACTGTCACATGGAATGAAATTCACCACAAGACAGAATTTGGTTGCAATCGCAGAGGTCATGGCTATCCTGATCCAAACTATTTTAGTAATATTCTAGCTGAGCTAGAGGCTCATGGAGTAACTGATGATGAAGTTTATCTTTGGTATCCTGCTTAGTTTATTATGTCATTTCCAACTGTATATATAAATGTGTGAATATATTTGTATAGTTACCACTGTTGCTTTGTAAATAAGAAATTAATGAGTTGTATTCATTTTAAAATGCAGTACATATGCTGGTGTAATAGATATGTGCTGCATTATTGGCAGAGTCTTGCTCCCTTATACAGTTGAAAGATATGGCAATATGTTCTCAATTTTCAAGGAAAAAATTTTTAAATATTTCTGATTTTTTATTTAACTAATTAGATAATAAACTGAAGTATACTGATGAACAGAGAAAAAGTTGACCCAAGAGAGCTGTTGCTATATTCTTAATTTAACCAGTTGAATTTTCACGTAATAATTTACTGATAAATAAAAGAAAATAAAAATTTAAGATGTCTGCTTTATATTCTTCATTTAACTGAAGTAGCATATAATAAATTATGCTGATATATGAAAAAATATAGTAAATTGAAAGACAAATTTCATTTTTGTTTCTAAACTAAACTTTTAAAGAATAAATTGGTCTTAATCATTTGCTTAGTTGTTAAAAAAAATCCAAGTTGTATTAGCAATTTAATATAGCATGCATTAAATTTTTATTTTCTTCTAACTTAAATTCAAACTTAAGTTATGAAGTTACTCCAGAATCTTGGTATATGAACTGCTAAAAGTACTTAATAGTTATTCATTACATTTAACTTCAGATTATGAATTCAGTTTTTCCATTCTTTATTAGGCACAAATTGTCATTAGTAAAGTTTGATATTCATTTCACTGAATAGCACTGACTGTTTTAGAACACTAAATGAAATGTGGATCAATTATCTAAATCTTCATCTATAAAATTACTTAATCATAACTTACCACTAAAGAGTTATTAATGATCAATGCATGATAATTATAATAATGTAGATTTCTTTTCAGTTTTCTGCTCCCTCTTAGAAACGATAATTAATGAATCAGATATGAAAATTTGTACTCCATTTCTAAAATTAAAAAAGTAATGTTTTTTGTGTTTCATATAACTTTCACCCGAAAAAAAAAATAGTTGGCCTTATCGTAAAAAGTATGATTTTTAAGTTTATAATTATTTTTATACAAAGTAATCATAATGTTTATTTTTTAACTTCAAGCAGAAATTTAACTTTTCTGATTAAAATATGTTTCTTTTCATCTGAGTGTATTTCAATAAAAATTTTTCTTTCATTGCATTAGAAATGCTGCAATAATTCAGTTTATTATCAAAATAATTCTTGTTGATAGCAGAATTCTTCAGTGGCTATCTGGTGAATTTGATGTGGATTATTTCTTTTAAGTAAATTTTAAAGGCATTAAATGAAAGGAAATTTACCATTATCAAGTCTCTTATTTATTAGCTTGATATTTTTAATTTACAAACCTCTCACCAAAAAATTTTAGCGTTTTAAACTTTTAACTTTTGTTACTATTTATTATATATATATATACTTGGCACTATTACTTTTCATTTTTACTCAAACAAGGAAGTCCAAAAACATATATATAGATTACCTTACAACTGACATTTGTATTGATTGTAATATATGTGAAAAACTGTATTGAAATGTTTTGTAATAAAATTTTATTATTACTATTATTTCTGATTGTATGCTTTTCTAAACAATTTTGATATTCTGAAAACCATAAATCTATATTTTTTATTGTTTTCCTTTGCATTTATTTTGATGCTTTTTTTAGTGTTTTACATTGTGCTAAAAGACAGAGGCGTATATAATAAAATTATTATGTATATTTTTTTTTAACCAAGCATGTAATAAACCTTTAAATTCATTTTTATTGAAAATCTGGGGTTTGGGAATGGTTCTGATGATATAGTTTATCATTATTAATATAGCATTTCACCATAAATGACAAATCACTTTTTAAATTGCTGCCACCATATATTATTACCCTGTATTATATGTAAAGAAACTAAATAATGAAGCATCTGCATGAATGTACAAATTTTGAGTAGCATAATCTTTCACCCCAAAATGGGCACCTGGAAGCCCGAATTTTAAATTTCAAATTTGTTTTATTATCTATTTCACATTTTGTAAAATTTTAACAAATTTTGGATTAACAAACTCTACGATTTCAAAGTGAGCATTGGCAACACTATACAGAAAAAACACTTTTATCTCCAGTGCATGAGACTGTGTATTGGAAATTCTAAAGATGCTGTTTTTAAATATTTTGCGATATTGCTGTTTTATTGAATTTTTTGTGGTTTAAGTGTGACGATGATATTTAACAAACATGATATTTAATAAATAAAGGTAACATACAAACTGTTAAAAAATGTCCGTATGGCATAATATAAAATCTGAAAGCTGATCACACATGATTTCTGACAATTCTTTTCTTTTGTGAATGTGGAGCTTTAAAAGAACAGGATCTACCGTAATGTTCTATGTGTAATTATGTTCTTATGTACTCAATTATTTTCTCAGAAATGAATATAGAAAATTAATTACATTTTCATAAATTAATGTTGTAAGGATCCTAAGTTTTACTAAGTTTATTTTATTTTAAAACTGTACTATCACTTCTTATTTTCTACTTCTGTCCAGAATTAAATGCTTTAACTCGTTTATGCAAATTCTCTTGCTAACGCCCAAGTATTTAAGTTGTGGCTTTTTGCCAAGAGTTAGGGAGAGAGAAGGAGATTTGGGAAGCAAGCCGCTTGCCGCTGCAGTTTTACGAGTTTTCACTCGGTTGCTGGTTGCCTTTAAGGCCAGAGGTTTAGCCCTCTTGATATTTGAAAAACGTATTGTAGTTTCAGCAGCTCGGCGTATTACATACGTACCCTTTTAAATAAAGGCTAGTCTTAGTGCTAGGCATTTGTATACTAATTCAAAGTTAGCTTTAGTTAGAGTTTTAGTTAGTAGTTTTATATTCTTACGTTCAGACCAACCACAAGTGGTTGGTCTTTGTATCACTAAGTTCGGGAGTACTTGTAAAAGTATAGAAAATAAAGGGTTTCGTATACCCTTCCTGCTTGTGTCGTCTGTTACACACAAATCTTGAACATAGCTTGAGTAAGCTCCCTGTTCCTATTCAGGACACATCATGTTTTCAAAGCAAATCAAGAGAAACACAAGTCCTGACAATGTAGCTTTCAGAGTAGAGGTATATGTGACATTTTTCTTTGCTAATTTGCTGATTTTGATGTTTGCTACTGCATAAACATAATTTCAAAATAATTAAAGACGGCATTTTGTAGACCAAGGCAATAAATGTTAAAAACAGACAAATCCTTATTGCCTAAAAGCAACAATACCATTTGGGTGTGACAGAAAAGCATTTAAACTTAATTATTAAAAAAAAAAACTGTCAAACTAAGTTGCTAGTTGTAAACTGTAAAGGAACTAAGAAACAATAAGGTAAAGGCACCAGTAGTTGACCACCTAAGGGAAATTTCTCATTCACTTGTCAACAGTATTAACAGCTAATACTGTCCACAGCGGAGACAGTAATTAATTTTTTCGTAGTTAAGGGAATTCTTCAACTGCCTGCGTAGCTAGTGATGACCTTTTTTACTGAAAAAAGTTGTATAATATAAAATTATTATAAATAATTTAGAAGAATATGTTTCTTCTCTAGTAGTTGACCATGTGCTCAAAGTTTTCAATGCAGAAAGGATGATATTGTTAGTTGATAAATATAATTATTTAACACTTGTTTATTGGCTTTCATACATTTTTATCAAAACATGAACTATTTTTGTAAAACCCATATAAAATATAACTGAATATTCAAGGAACTTCAAGATTTTAAGTGCTCATACTTAAGTGTTCATAAAAACAATCAATCCCACAAGAAATCAGGCACACTATTACAAGTCTTGCTCGTTTTTCGTGGCTCAGCAATATGGGAAACAACATCCTTCCACCCATATCTCAAAATATCAGGCTTTTCTGGCCAGTGCCATAATCTTCCACACTTTTTCATTGAACTGATTGTGGCTTCTTTCTTTGTGGCATGCGTTTTTCTTTCCTGGGTAATATACATTATCATAGACAAATAAAACGAATTCATTGATTTTTCTCTCACCAGGTAAAAATTTATTTTCGGAAAAACTGTTCATTTCCGTCGCTCAACTCTTCATCACTTTCATCTGAATCAGAATTTTCAGTAGTGGAAATTGAACTTTCAGATGGACTGCATAAAAATTTCATTGCTTTTCGTTTTTTTTTTTTTTTTTAGCCTTATTTTCTTTTGCTTCTTCGCTCTGTTCTTTCTTCCTTTGCCTTCCATTAGCTCTCTCTCTTTTTTTTAGTCTTTCCTCCTCTTTTTTCTTTTCGATTTTTTTTTTGGGGGGGGGGAAGTAATCATGGAATTGCTTTCCAGAAACTACAGCTGGCATCTTTTCTTCAGATTTGGTTCCTTGTTTTCATAGAAGAAATGTCTTTTAAATGGACTTGGTACTTTGTGTGAAGGACCTGCAAAATTGGTGTTGCACGAGGTGCTTGTTCTGCTTTTGGGAGGGACATCTGTTGATATGGCCACTTGATCAGGTAGTGCAGTTGGAGAAGTGGGACTGTTTGTAGGTAGCTCAACAATTGCAATGTTATCATCATTGAGTGGTCTGGGATTCATATAATTTTTCATAGGTCGTCTCAGCTATTGGAATCAAAGAATCATCTTCACATGGTAGTGTTGTATCTTCAAGCAGGTCAGAGTCGTAGCTAGGGTTTTCAGCGCCCAGGGACAACTGAAGATTTCGTGCCCCCTACTGCTTGCCAAGGATTCTAAAATTCTAAAATTTATTATTTAAATTAAAATTTGCCATTTAATTCTAAAATGTCGTAATATCAGTTTGGCGCCCCTGGATTCTGCGCCCGGGGACAGATGCCCCCCTCTATCTCCGCCCCTGTAGCAGGTTAATGTCATTCAACATTTTATCTGCTTGATGTATTAATTCAGCTGGTGAAATGGAGTCATCAAGAAGATTCATATCATGAAGTTGAGCTGTGTCCAATGTATTGTTTTTATTTACACAGTTACCATAACTTTCCAACTCTGTTTGCATCTTTTTCCATAGTAAGAACAGTGATGTGTCCTTTATGTCCCCTTCCCATGTTTATGATGAGTGCTAAAATCTAACAATTTTATCTGTCTCAACGCTTTCATTTAGAAATTTGAAGCCTACATCCGGTGTTGTGCCAATACTCTTGCCATTCTGATATGGCCAGACCAGTGGTCTTGTTCTTCAGGTGAGAGGCTGGATTTGTAATGTAGATGTGATGCGTACTAGTATCTGTTGTTGTGGCTTTCGCTAGTTTATCCGCGAGCTTAATTCCTTCTATTCCGATACGGATTTTGACCCCCATCTTAACTTAATCTGCTTTTGCTGTGTGCAATGAGATGGTAGATGCCATGTGAAATTCTGTTTTTGAATCTGATATCTGTTACTGCCAAAAAATAGAAAAACTACCTGAGATGATTATGGTTTGTGTTCGATGTTCTAGTGTCCATTTAACTGCTCGCCTAACAGCCATTAACTCTAACTAAAATACAAGGTTAACAGGCTTAAATTTAGCACTCCATTTGCATATTGATTATTTATTATAGTTCGACCGCCTTATCCGCGACCATGAGTGCAAACACGCAAATAGTGCATTTATTCTATTGTGGTTTATGCGCTGTCGACGAAGTAGATTTTATTCAATCCAATCAATTTAAATGAAATTCAAGAAAAAAAAAATGCGTATAATTTAATATTCCGTACAAGGAAGTCATGTGGTGTACACATCAGATTTTTTTCTCTGTATTAAAAAATGGTAATAACTTTATTGGACTTCATCATTTCCAAATCAGTGTATGTCACATGGTTTGCGTAACCTTGATGACGTAGCTAATTCGGAATCTGAACTCAGAATTTCGAGAACTGAAACCTTTTTTTCAATAGGCTGCCCTAATGGATAATTGCGCACTTTAGCTTCAATCCCTCTTACCTTGAAGACGCTATTTCGCTCCTCTTTCTTCCTATCGCAACAATATCAAAAATGTAAATATTCCTGAATAGACACGATTAGAGTGCCAAATAAATAGTAGCTGCAAATGTCAATTGAAAAAAATTCAATTTTTAGTCCTAATCGGCTACCAAGTTTCCTCTTCAATATGGATCGACGTTCTATATCAGTATGGATCTACATATCAACATTGCTTTTGTTTTGGATTCATTTGGTGTCCCTCAGTTTGAGGCAAGTGAGACACTTGGCTCGACCTTTTCCCGGTTCTTATAATTCATTATTCATTTCTCTGTATGTTTTGCATTAGTGCTGTAAAGGTAATATATTTTGCAATATTATGCTATTTTTTGTCTACTCTTTATTATTTCTTGTTTTGTTGCATTGTCAAGATTTAAGAATTGTAAGCGATTTCAGTAGAATTATTTACCCATATTTACAAAGGCTGTTTAAATCTACAGTACAAGAAGAAATTACAATTCTAAATTTAAGTAAATATTCATTAAAAATTTGTTCAAATTGGCGTAGTAATTGTACTAGCTGTCGTTTTTTCTAAAGTTATTTTTACAAGTTTCTGCGAAGTGAATTAGTTACGCTGTTTTACCTGACGCTAAATTTT